CCCTTCACCACCACCACCACCCCCCCCCCAGGCCACCTGGTGGGCCAGTTCCCCGGCCGCTTCCGCTGCGCGGGGCTGCGCAACCCGGTGCTCAACATTTCCTTCATGATAGGCCAGACAGACATCCCAGACTGGTGCTACATCGAGACCCTCGGCACGGAGGTGCGGGGGGACACAAATCGGCGGCCGCGGGGCGGCCAGGGGCGGCGCGGGCCGCGGGGCGGCCGAGGTTTTTATTCCTGGCGGCTGGTTGAGCCGCCCCATGCCGCGCCGATTTCGTTTGTGAGATCCCACATCCTGCTTCATTGAGGTGAGGTTCACTATCGTACCGCTGTCCTGCCCACCTCACTCACCGACCTTGGTCGACAGGAGGGCCGCCGGCGGTATCGGCCAGACCCCACCCCGGCTGATCTGGAGGCATTCTACAATGCATCCCCCGTCGCCCACGTGGACAAGGTGGGGGACGGGCCGACAAATGGGATGCGCAACATGCCTTTTCAACTATGGGCAGACGGCGCGCTCCCCTGACGCCGGCGGCAGTGCTGTGAGACTGTCACGTTGGCCCAGCACGAGCCGGGCCGTCGCGCATGAGCAGGCGACGGCGTCCGCATCGGCAAACACTCGAAGCCACTGCGGCCGCGGCGGGGCCGCCGCTCGTCTCGTGGCGCCGCCTCAAACCGCCACCAGGCGCCCCCTTTGGGCCGATGCCACTGCACTCTGCCCCCCACTCCTTGAACGCGCACCCCCGCCATATGTCTGCCGTACAAGCGCTTCTCGTACCCTCCTTGTTCCGCGGCTACTATACCGTGCATGTCTCTCCCCTGTACACACACACACACACACACACACACATACGCATGCTGCACCACACACCCACAGGCACGCACTCCCTCTGGACACATTCGTCCCCACACAAAACCACACGCTGTTCTTGCACACAAATTCACACCTGCCCTGAACCACAAGCACGCGCCCCCGCGTCTACCTACCCACCCAACCCCAGGTCGTGGCCCCCCTCGCCTTCATGCTCGGCGCCAAGGACCGCCGCGTCCCCCTCGACGACGCGCGCCGCTACATCGACGCCGTGCGCGCCAGGGGCGTCGACACGCGCGTGCTTGTCTTCCCCAATGATACGCACGCCCTGGACAAGCCCAACACAGAGTTCGAGCAGTGGCTCAACCTGGCCTGGTGGCTGGGCCTGCACGTGCCGGGCGGCAAGCGGCCCGAGGGGGGCGCCGAGTGACGGCGCGGGCGCGGCGGCCCGCGTGTGTCGTAATCGAGCTGATACTGTATTCAGGGTGACGCCGTCCCGGTCGTCACTCCATAGGCACTGGCGAGCGTCGCATTATTACCACACGTCGATATTTGAGGGGGCGTGTTTTGGGGGCTGCTTTGACTTTTGACTTCTGGCGCCTCATGCGATGTGATCCGCCACTGGTATTTTATAGCGATGGTATTGCAATGCTGGATGCGGTCTTACACGGCCTTACGCAGCCAAGCCTGCTGGAATCGCCAGGTGATGCAAAAATCCCCAAACCACAACGCGACCGCGACACAGCGCGCGCCAGCTAGGCAGGCCGGCAGCAATCGGCTGGCGCTGCCAGACACACACGCAGCGCGTGGGCGGCGCGCCACACGCAAGGGGGCGCCGGGCGGTTTCACAAGCGCTTAGTCTGGCACGTGGCCGCGTCAAGAGCCCAATCCTGCACATCCCGGCACTGGGCAAAAAGCTGGGTGAAGATTTGGTTCGGGGTGCGCTTGCGGGGCCAGGGCGACAGGAAAGCGGCCCAGCGGGCGGCGGAAGCGAGAGGCTTATAACGGGGAGGACCCGGGCACTGGCGCGGTCCCCCGCCAAGCCGCCGCCGCCGCCCCCGCCGGGCCGCGCCCCGTCGGCAGCCGCCCCCCTGCCGGCGCAGGCCGTGGCGCAGCGCACAGAGCACCGCTCACGCCTTGGCGCGGCGGTTCTTCTTGCCGGCCACCTGCTGAAAGCCGTCCGGCTGCGC